GGAATAAGAGGTATAAAGTCCGTCAAGGGATCTACAATGGGTTTCTCAACATATACTGCCCCTAAAATACACACCCACGGTTCAGCTAAGCATAAGATAAATAACGGCCAGTTGCACCATTTAAGTACTTCCCCATATGTCTCTTGGATATAATATTTTGCAAAAGAAGCTCCAGCCTGGATAGTTGGATCACAGCTACCAGTGCCAATTTCATTTTTCATCTCAACAAGAAAACGTAAAACACTTTTTGAAAAGACATTAGATTCTAACACGCCATTTGAAGAATCATCTTCCAGGCTAATTACTCTTAATTCCTCACCAAATAATTTACGAATTTTTTCTTTAAACACTATAGAACGCTCGTGTTCACTGCGGTATATTTTTGCTATTTTATGAATGAACTCAAGGGTCTATTCATAATGCTCTCTCCCCATTTCTAGATCTTCATTTCGGTAATCATGCAGGAACTGACTGAAAACATTGTGATAAACTTGTACTGGCGGCTCAACGCATTCTGGGGGACGGTGAATAAGTAACTGCTTGTCCTTAACATGATGATAAATAAGAGTATTAAAGAGGGCAAAAGATGAGAGAGAAGGATAGCTCTGAATTTTCTTTACGTTTGTTTGTTGTTCTGTAAAGATTAGAACAGTTGATACAATAAGATTCTACAAACACAGGCACATATCCTACAGCTAACCTTCTTCATAGTTATCCAGGTTTGAAAAACGTCGCTTAGTAGCTGATGAAGATCTGCATTGAAAACGCTATAAGTTATATCGAAAGTACTACACCATAACAGTTTAAATACTATGAACAGATTCTCTTACGAGGTTGCAAGCTTCGCTCGCAGGTCTAACAACTCATTCAACAATGTTTGCTCCCAAGGACTCAGTACGTCTGTAGATACTTATAACACGTATAAGGCACAGTTAATAAATAGAATTATTGTGGAATTAATTTAGAAAAACTCTTTCTGTCAATCACTTACACAAAACTTAACTAAAAATTTGCTAGTATAAAATCCTTAATAATTCAATATTTTATTAAGATAACTGCTCTTAACATCTTAAGTAAACTTGCTCAGCTCTTAATTTTATATATAATTTAAGAGTTTTAAGCCTTTATCTTAAAAACTCGTAGCATAATGTTACAAAAACCTCTTTTGGTTTTAGAATCCAAACTTTTAACTATTTCTCTAAAACTGTCTTTACAACTTATCTGTTAG